GTTTCGAGAAATTGAGTTCTGAAATTAAACACTGGAAACCTATTAAAAAAAAGTTCAAAAAGCGTTTGTGAAGTTATGTGCCAACATTTTTTAGATTCCTTGAATCAAATTTTATTGCGAAAGTTAGGTTTCTTTAAAGTTTTCAAAAACAGTGAGTCATAAATCCTTCAATCTTTACCCCGCAGGCTGTGGAAAACTCACTGGGGTCAGTAATCCCATCACAGTCCGAGCATCAGGATCAAGATTTGGCTCCTGGATGACGGATACTATGATCCCCAGCTCTGACAACAGGGTAAGTCCTTCTGTTTCTACTTACATCCCTCAAAGCTGAACTCTAGATTTTTTCTTACGCAGCCACAATAACCATGTGATCACTGTTCAGGATTCCTGGAGCTTGTTGGGTAAAAGGGGACATTCATTTACCCAAGAAATATTGGTGTGAGGCCTTTCCTCTAATTGGACCATAGCATTCCATGATGAAACAGACCAACAGTTGTTGATGGTTCAATAACCCATCACCTTTCCCAAAGATATGCTAGCAAAAACATATTTTACTAGAGTAAGAATTAGATTTGACAGAACCTTAAGTTGATTTGGGTCATTTAGGTGCTGTCGTTTTTAAACGGTATTCAGGAATTTGACCGAGTCAAACAACACAAATTCACACGTGAGCATCTCCAAATATCGTAATGTCTTCTGGCTAAACAATCGTGTGGCGATTTTTATTCCAAATTTGAATCGTGACAATGAAAAAGCTGCTGCGGAATTATGCTAGGATTATGCTACGATGTTGAGTCGGTGGTGAAGTGCTTCAATAAATGCATTCTAGAAGCTCAAGTTGAAGTCGGACAGAAAGATCGAATGGGTCTTGTGACCATTTACCTGGAGAACAACAATCACTGAGGCCTGAGTCGTAGACTGCCTGTACAGGGACTAGGATAGTTTTCTTGGCACTTGCAGGAAGTAAAAGGAAGTGGTGGCTTAGTGGTTAAGGAAGCGGACTTCGAGTCCACCAGCTGCCAAGTTAACACTGAGGTGCTCTGCGCATGGCACCGTTCCCACACTGCTCCCCGGGCGCTTAAAGCTGTCCACTGGTAATGGGTTAAAAGCAGAGGTCACATTTCATTGTGTGCAGTGGTGTGCTATGTCACAATGACAAGTAGTTCACTTTCCACTTTCTTACTTTCCACTTAAAGCCGAGGTCAGAGAGATGTCGAATAAGTACCCCTGCTCACTGGACTGCACAGTCCCCAAGCACTCTCCTGGAGATGTGACTAGGGTCAGTGGCTTTGGCTGGGTTAAAGGGCTAAAGGGGCTAGCAGCAGGAGGAAAACCGTCGCAGCATTGACAAATGGACACAAACAGAATGTCTTGGTCACAGACTTGGTGGAAAGTCAAGCACGGAGAACACACTAGAACACGATGCACCGGTTGATCAATGAACAATCTGGCCTGGTGGGTTTTGTTATTAATTTAGCGATTATTTCACTTCATATCATTTCAAGAGAGCGGGTAATAAACAGATTGAATGCAAGGCAAAGATTTGAAAACGGACATTACAGTTGGTCAAATTCCGTTCCTAGGGCGAAATGTATCTCAATTTTTGGAAGTCAGGATGCACATGCTGTCCATAAGTGCCTACGTCACTCAACCTACGCTAACACATCATGGTCTACGACAGGCGTGGGCAAACTTGTTGACTCGCAGGCTACAGCGTGTCTGAAAATTTGGGCATGGGGCCGGATCGGGAGCAGATAAATGGAGCGTTTCTATGAACTAAAACTTTTCTTTGCCATCTGTTGGGGAAATTCATTGCACGAAAAAGGCAGAAGTATAATGATAATTGAAATTAATAACATAAATTGGACAAGTTCAGTGGGCCATATGAAAAAGTCAAACGGGCCGCATTTGGCCCCTGGGCCGTAGTTTGCCCATGCCTGGTCTAGGATATAAAAACAAGTGTCTGACTTACGCCTGGACACCATAACGAAGGGCAAGAAGTTCCTATCAAAACATCACAAACGAAAGGAAGTGAATGTAGCACAATGTATGGCCAACGTAAACAAAGCTGTCGTCCACATATAACGCAGCATGACAATGTATTTCTCCATTTCTTTCGTCATTTCCCGCCCGTGTATTGACATGGTGTAATTTTGTAACACTTGTTAGTGGGAGAAAAAAAAAAATCTACTGAACACTCAGTGAGCGCAAAGATTTTTTTTTTTTTTTTTAATACAGCGCTAAAGAATCAAATGAATAGAGCACTAAAAGAGGATCAATTAAAATCTGGGCAGCACTTCAACCGAACCATTAAGGGAATCAGACGTGCGACGGGTAGAAAAGAAAAAAAAAAAGAGCTGCGTCAGTTGACAGATCCGCTGAGAGGGCTTTAGAAAAAAAAGATAAAGCTGCTACATGGATTGATTTTCGGTAAACATGGAGCAGAAAGGCCAAGAGACACGGACGTCTTTAACGAGTCACACACAAAGACGGAAGATCGATTGCTTGGAACACACGCACTCATACATGCATGGAAGGATTCAAGCCGGCAAACAAGGGACAGTTTCCTGTAATGAGGAGTTTTTGTTCAACACATGAGCACATCCTCCTGTGTTCTGATTCCCGAACGTGTCATCAAGTCTTTAAACTACTTTCCTACCAATTATTGAAAACATTGGAAAGCTTTGTTTGCTCCATTTATCACTCAGGGAAATTATACAAGCTGCTTGATAACTCTTGAATGACAGCAACACAAAGATAACACAAATAGCTACTTGCCAAAATAGCACTTTTATTCGGTTCTCACCGGGGTGCAACGATTGGTCGATGTTTTAAATAACAACTTAGCCGATGCCAATTCATTTCATCTTTTGTGCCATGTGAACATTTGACTGAATGAATGAAACAAAAACAACCTTTAATGTCAATTCTTTTATTTGACATTTAAGACGACCTCAATTCGCACCACGAAGTTCTTTTTCTGAAAAACAACTTTCGAAAGACCTTAGACCGCTGACTAATCAACGAAAATACTCTTTCAGTATTGTATTATATAAACTTTTTTTTTCTTTTTACCTTCATTGTCTAACAAAACTATTTTTGTGAAACGTAAAACTTGAAAATTGAAATATGTATGAAAACAAAAATGTTGAGCCATTTGGTAAATCAATGAAATGTAAAAGTACTATGTTTTCTTAGTAGTTTTATCAGTAAAAGTGTTGACATTAGGAAGCCTGTGCCGTGTGGTTCCCATGACAACGGTTCGGTCGGAGAAAGGTGGTTGGGAGTGTGTGTGCGTGAGGGCCGTGAAGCTGGAGCGAGAGAGAGAGAAAGAGCGAGAGAAAATATTTGTTGTTTTTGTTGTTTTGGCGTTGGCTACAGCCCGCAGTAGTCTGTGTACTCCTGGCTGATTAAACCCTGAGTCAGAAGCACTTTGCAGTACCATCATTTTGTGCTACAATATTTGTGACTGATTACACACTTGTATATAAATAATTCACCATTGGTGAATATCATCTTTATTTCCCAATGGCCGATGCACGAGGTAAACATCAGCCGATACCGATGTTAATCCGATGCATCGGTTCATCCCTAGTTCTGCACAATGCAATAACAATTTGAACTCCTTTCACGTCACAGCGGTTTTGCACGACGCGTACGGCTTCACGTGTTCGATTTGTGGTTCTTTTACCAGTCGATGTTAAAAGTTCTATGATCCCCATTAATTGTCTCACAACATTAAAAGAGAAACTAACCAAACCGAGGTATATAAATAAAACATTCATCAGTCATTTATAAATTGACCTGTTGTGACCCACATATGTATGTGGCCCATGTTTTTTCCCAAGAGCCAGTGGTTTGTCATCCCCAGCCAGTGGACACAGTTGGTATTTTTTTATGGAGTTTGCATCTATCCATCTATCTATCTATCTATCTGCTAACAATGCTAACAATGGTATCTATCTATCTATCTGCTAAAAATGCTAACAATGGTATCTATCTATCTATCTGCTAACAATGCTAACAATGGTATTTATCTATCTGCTAA